CGGTGATAGCCATGTGTTGTAAAGCGTTAGAACGAGATGTGACTGCTATAGAAAATTAATAAGAAAGGTACGAGTCAATACCCCAGCCAGAGACCTGTTGAAATGCTCGATACTGGGTGTCCAGCAACAACAACAGCAGCAACAACAACAACAGCAACAACAGCAACAACAACAGCAGCAACAGCAACAACAACAACAGCATGAGCAACAGCATCAATAACAACAATATCAGTGACAAAATCAACATAAAGTTTTCAAATTTCACTCCATATTCTTGGAAAATATTTGATTGTGACAAAAAGCATTTGAATACGTCAGCTCTGATTAGCATTATGCAAGACTTATTCAAGACAATAAATCCCCTCCCCTCCCCCCGACTTCAACCCTAGCCACGCCTCCACCTTGCCTCTCACTTCACAACACAAAATATCTTTAAAAAACTCGATTTCTTCCAAAATTATTCGTACAAAATAAACTTAAGACGTCCTAACTTTCTGCGCAGAAACCCCCCAAAAAATTCTTAAAGAGAAACGGTTAAAATTTTGTCAAGAAGTGTCGTCCGATACTTCGGATATTTTGACTACGTCACACAAGTTTTAAGCTCTTTTCTACGAAAAGRATTGAATTGAAAATCTAAATTAATAATACAAAGAATATATCCGAAATACATAAGACCGAAAACGAATAAACACGATATTTTTTGAGAGTTATTCAGAAGTAAAATATATTATAACGATGGTAWAAAATTGAAACAGTGTATGACCGAGCAGTGATATCTCTGAATCACGTTTCTCAAGCGTACGATGTTTTAAATGTTAAATATTTTAACGGCCAGAAAGATAACCAGAAAAGAACGACTAACCTGAGCCAGAGGCGATATTTTCCTTGTTATAATCCAAGCACTCGACTGATGAGTATGTATAAATAGATCTTCGCATTTGACCTACAAGAACGACATAGCAATCCCGAAGTCAATGACATAAACATTACTTGAAATAACGTTAAACCTTAGATATATCCCAGCCTTAATACAAGTCATAGTAAAATACATTTGATTTATACTTGCCTATTCGTATCCTCATTATCATTTTAACTACGAACAACTAATGAACAGTTTTAGCTTGTTTTGCCTCATTACATCGGTATATTTCTCTGATTGAACATCCAGAATTAGTTAACTCTTTGATCTCAATTTTTTCTAAAATCTATCTAAATTTCCACTGGATTTTCAAATTTTCAGATGATATTTTAAGACAAAAGTTGCAATAGAAAGTACAGTTCTTATGTAAGATACTGTAGATCACTGACAATGAACGTAGTTTACTAATGAATGAACGTAGTAACGTGACCAACTCGGTTTGTTTGTAAACAATGCGAAGGAGCTTAGCGTGACATCATGTGAGGTGAGTCACATGCTTGGTGATCACAAGGTACACGTGACGATCAAATGAATGCGTGATAAGAATGAATGAATGAAATAAGAAAGGAAGAAAGAAAACAAAGGAAATTGAAAAATGAAATATTCTTAGTCATCTGTAGCTTTCCTTTCCTTTCCTTTCCTTTCCTTTCCCTCTCCTTTTATCCCTAGTTTCTACTATACTATAAAATAAAGTGTCCATGGTAGAATGGAGGCCTTATTTTCCAACTACTTTCTTCTATTAGATCATTCAATGGCCAGAGAGGACCCACAGAAAAAAAAAAAAAA